AATAAAACAAGTTTTCCACAGCATTTTATCATAAATGCCCCCAAATGTAACCGTATCTGAGGGAGAAAAAGGGATTTAAATATAACTTTACGAATTGACATTAAAAGTATTTGAACCACTGTAGCATTCAAGCTCTGTCTGTTCCTTATTCCCTTACCTCGACAGGTTGCTGTCTCCGCAGGGCCACAAGCTTGGCCAGTTGGGATCCCTTCCCGCCTGTCAGGCTAGACACTTGACACGAACTCGCCGTCAGCGGGTTTCTGGTTTCTGGCTTGTCAGTGAGGCAATATCTGCAATGAAACCAATTTTGAATTAGAGTTAAAAGTATATATATTTGACAAACTTCGAAACTGTAATCCACTACAGTGGAGGTAATGAAATGTTTAAGGGTCACTGCTTTCCTGAAGTAGTTCCATCTTATGATTTCATAAACTTTGTTGCGTCCATAAGGCGGATCAAAGATCAAAACACTGTATACAAAGCTAACCATTTTGGGCTCCAAATAATAACTACATGTATACTGGTAAGTCGGGTTTCGATGACTTATTAAAGTGTTCTTAACGCGATCGAAACTTGAAGAACAATTGAATTTCACATTTGGGAGGTTGGATATAATACGATAAGACGTCAATCCCTGTCAGTACAAAATAATATTCGAAAGATAAAAGTGAAGTTGGATTACGTATGGATTCTCGATTTTACCAAATGAAATCGAAAGGTGTAATGCAGATCTTCAGCTCACCTACTCTGTTCCATTGTAAAATTCCATCTCACCGATGTCCTTTGTCTTATCCTGCATCATGTGGTAGTTCATCGTCCTCTTTTTGATGGTACATTTCCTTTCTCGGCTCCACCACAGCAGCCATTTTGATGTGAGGTATTTTAGCAAGTACCACCGCCCGGGAACGGCGTACACACCGTGAAGTGGTACCCCGTCTAGCGAGGCGAGATTAACCGCTACGTAAGCCGACGCTAGCACCACCACCACAACTAAAATCACTGCGAAGATATCCATGTTGCAATACCAACCGGCGCAGTCGAATGTGCAGCAAAGGACAGAACTCAGTGATCACGTTTAATCTTTACTCCCTGAATTTTGCCTAGAGAGCCGCCACAAGTATTACTCGACACTCCCTCCCCACTGCACGTAGATCTGTCGCTCTCCAGCAGGGTCTACAAGGGTTACTTTATTTTTCGCTCCTCGTTTCCAATGGAAAGGGTGCCCGTGCACTTTTTCGTCGTAATTCGCTGTTAAAAGGAGCACTAATTTTGTGTACTTTGTATTGTTAATTTTAATGCGTATCATTTGTTGAAAGGGTCCACATCATGGTAATCTCTATGTTTGTTTTAGTTTGACAATGCAATTCATAAGCGTACTGTGAAATGGCTGGATATAATTGTAACATTCACACTTTTAAAAAATAAGTTGTTTTCAAATCCGCGATTTTTTTTGTGCGGAATTGACCCTGTTTGAATAATTATCCACACCACTACGGGGGCATTTATGAATGTTGATACTGTAGGGACAGGGTCGTTTTCATTCTTGTCTGTATTCAAATCCTTTAAAAAATCATATCTTGATTAAGTGGACACTTACAACCACACGACAATCTGTCTGGTTCTACTTTAATCTGACCGACTACAGCTATTGACGCTGGAGCAGTTCAGCCAGACCTGCCGCCTTGTGAAAAGAGCCCAGAGTGTGCGGTGTTACGTAATTTTCTTTTGTTCACAAAACTGGCACAGTGTGCTGCTGACCTCTATTAAACAGAGGCCAGATTAGCGTGCAGTGGTACTGTGTGGCTCGCTCCAATGGTGGAGCGCTTCTGTCCCCGGTGGCAATCCGCTCGCAGTGAATGCCTCAAACCGTGGTATACTGTTTCTAAAAAAACAAAAAATCCTGA